GGTTATGATGGGCCCATCTACCCTGGGGGTGCTTTCTCAGTTTCCCTCTCTCTATTTCTCTCTCCGTATCCTGTGAGTGCACATGCCCTACAGCAAATGTTTAAAAAATTAATTTAAACACATTAACTTATTTAGCTCCCTAGCAACATTAAGTCTCTACTTCAAAGGCTACGTTCTTATTTTTTTAGGTATCTTAGAAGAGATGAACAAGCTGATCCTACCTTAACAGACAGGAGCTTTGTGTGGTTGTGGGGGAGTGCTAAGTGGATAAACAACAGTAAAGTCCCTAGCACACACTAGAGGTCCTGCCACTCCGGTGATTCTGTCCTGCTCAGGAATGTCCCTGAAGATCCAGCTCTGCACAGCCAAAGTATGTGAAATTCAGAAAGGGCTTTTAAAAAGCATCACGTCAGCTTTAAGACATACAAGGCACATCCCAAGAGAGCAGAATGTTCCTACTATGAGATAATTCTACTCTTCATGCAGGGGCGGGGAATTAAGGATGATTAATACTACATGTAGCTTTTCTTTTATTCTAATGCCCCAGTAAGGCAGGCTTTTGCTTCCTTTACTTATTTTTTAAGTGTCTGGTGTTAAGAATATTTAATTGGACTGAATCATGTGTTCGTGCCCTATGGGAATCAAATACACTGTTTATAAATTACTTTAGTTGACCCCAAAACCACTCTGAAGGGTTGTGTTAGACAAGACAAAAATTAAATTAGAGTTGTGTGGGAAAAATACACATGAAAGAAGAATGATATTTTAGTTGGCCCACATTATGACCTTTGACAATTAAAAAATTATTCAATTTTAATTATTATTATTATTATTTAAATTTGCTTCAGGGCATGCATGCTCACCAGAGAGGGACAGAAAGAGAGAGAAAAAGTGAGAAAGCAAGCTGCCAAGTCCAGGACTTGAACTGAGGTCAGCCATGTGGGAGTCCAGCTCCTTAACCACCATGCCACCTGCTGACCCTCTGACAGCTTTTTTTTTAAATCATTTAATCTCTATTACTTAAGTATGTGTGTTCAGTAAATTTTGTTGGATGAATTAACTCACAGAAGGAAGAAACATATGAAAAAAATGCACAAGAAAGAAGATTGTGTCGTGACAGTGTTTTAATGTTTGTGTTAATAACATTTGGTCAATAAACGCAAAAATCCTATATATTCCAAAAACTAGAGAGGATACAATCACTTGTTCTTTGTAAGCAGCTCTATCTCATGATTATGCTCAGTCTTTAAGAATAATGAGATACAAAGTCCTATGTTATCATAATTATGATCCATATATCCTAAACTTATTATCCTAATTAATTTTTTCTTTGTATCATATTTTATCATGCTACAAAAAATATAGTTTCAAATATGAGGGCAAGATGGCTATAGATGATTGGTTATGATGACAAGGTTGAAGTTTTTTCTGAAGAGATGAAGAAAAAGTTAGCAACAGCTTATGTATTGGAGACAGAGGGACTTTAAGGATGACCTTTGCTCAGTTTCAGAAATAGTGAAGTAATTTCTAACAATTAAAATTTTATACAACTAGATATACATGCACAGGTATCTCTATCGACACACTTGCACACACCCACCATTCATGCATGCTAGCACACTTATAGTTATTTGGTTGCACAGGGAATGACAAAAATCAGTAGAACTGTAGGATGTTCATCCCTGAAAGAACGGAACCATAATGGGAGACACCAATATTCCTAATACTTTGAGCCTGTGGGTACTGCTCATTCTGCAGTTGGTAGGGTTGCTGTAGCACAACTAGAATCCAAGCTGAAACACTAGTGTTATTAGCTTGAGGTATGAGAAGATTGGGGCCAGGAGGTGGCATAGTGGTTAAGGTGCTAGACAACCACATGGTTGACCACAGTTTGAAAACCAGACCCAGTGCTTGAAACTCACGCCAAGTGCATGTGTATGCCCTAAATCCCAAGAAAAAGATGAAGGAGAAGGGATTGCATGGCCATTCCCTCTGAAGGTAGGGGGTGGTTTTTTCACTATTCAGCCCTATAGCAAAAATCTCTCTCAAATAAGTAAATAAATAAGAAAGAGGTGTGAGAAGACTGAGGTGAGAGCTGTCAGAGCAATTGAAAACAGGAAGCGGGAAACTCTGGAAAAAAGTATCTATCGAGAAATGAGTCCTCAAATTTGCATTTAAACTCTCCTTAAATATTTGCTTGACCTGTGAAGGATGAATGTGAACGTGAGCCTCCCAAAAGCCATCCCCCGCCCCCGTAAGCAGCAGCTGGAAGGCTAAGAAAAGAGCTCAGCCGATGTCACTGCTTGAGAGAGCATGACACTCAACTCTCGTCCTAGTATCTTGGCTTCGTAGTGTTCTCCAAACTCGGGAGGGTCATGCCTATGAGTAAACCACATTTTCAGGGCTAAGGATATACCTAAGATGAAAAATGAAGCTGAAATAAGATGCCCCATACAAAGTACAAACTAAGCTGCCAAGAGCAGGTAAACAGCAAGTAATTTCACTGGCTGTGAGCATAAAAATCAGTATGGTTGGGGCCAGCAGGTGGCACAGTGGTTAAGGCGTTGGACTGTAGTTCAAGTCCTGGACCCAGTAACTTGAAATTCATACCAGGCACATTCTCCTGAGAGGACAGTGGAGAAGGACAGTGGAGTGCAGCACGGCCATCCCCACTGGAAGGTGACTTCTTACTTCTGTCTTTCTCTCTCTCTCTCTCCAGTTAGTGCATGCATCCTATAGAAAAAAATTTCTCAAAAAAATCACTGTGGTTCAAAAGTGGGTAACTAAAATCAGAAAATCTGTAATGTATCATCAACAAAGTTATGTATGCAACAAAAAATGTAGATGTCTTAAGAAAATGGAGTATTGGGAACCAGCAGTTAGCGTAATGGCTATGTTGCTGGATTCCCACGTAGTCGACCGCGGTTCGCGTCTCGGACCCAGTGGCTTAAAACTCACGCCGGGCACGTGTGCGTGCATGCCCAAGATCCCGAGAGGAGAGTGGAGGAGAAGGGCGCGGGGACCATCCCTCCTGGGGGGGTGAGTTCTCGCTTTCTGTTTCTATGCCTCTCTCTGTCTGTCTAGCAAGCGCATGCGCCCTATAGCAAAAATATCTCCAAAAAAAAAAAAAGGAGTATTTATATCATAGTTGAAAAAGAAAATGAACAGAAAAATCACCTCAAAGTAACCTAGATATTAGAACTAGCAGACAAGTATTTAAAAACAGCTGTGTTTGAACTGTATTAAAATAGTAAAGAAATATATCCTTTTAATAAATAAAAAGATAGTCAATTATTCACAGAAAAAAATGAACACTATACACAAGAGCCGAATTAGTATTTCAAAACTACAATGACAGTATCTGACTAAAGAATATTTCACTGGATGTACTCAACAGAAGACTAGAGAAATCTAGGAAGGGAGAGAAATCTAGGAAACTTTATAAAGCTGTTTAACATAAATACACAATGTGAAGAAGAGAAATGTAAAGTGGAAAACAATGAAGAGAGTCAGAAAAGTGGAAGAATACCAAGTGACTTTTACAAAAAAATAAAAAGTTCACAGTTCTTGAAGGAGAGAAGAGAAAGATCAGGCAGAGAATACATTTGGAGAAATAATGGCTAAAAATATACAAATGAATGAAATACACAACTTTCTTGATTTCAGAAGCACAATGAGCTTCAGGCAGAAGAAACACAAAGGAAACCACCCTAGGTACATCATAGTAAAACCACTGAGGATCAAAGAGAGAGAGAAGTTTTGAGAGGAGGTAAAGAGAAGTGGCATTCCGCGTGGTATGAATGGTTCCGACTTCCCATCGGAAACAATGGACCCCAGAAAGTGCAGAAGCTGGAAGAAGCTCGTGAACTGCTGAAAGAGAAAAAAACAATTCTGGCAACTCAGAATTCTCTGTGTTGAAAATACATGTCAAGAATGGAGACAACATAAAAACATTTTCAATTAATATGAAGAAACTTGATTCTCAGTGGATATACATCAAAAGAAATGTAAAACCAATTCATTAGACGAATAAAAGAATGAAAAAAATAGAAAAAGTTAGAGACCTCTTCATCATATCAATAATTACATTGCATGGAGATGGGATAAACATTCCAGTTATAGAAAGGCCACGTGAGAGTTGCAAAATAATCATCGCCCAGTTTTAACCTGAAAGCGACACACAGCACACTTGGGCATGAGGAAACCTAGAGGGCTGAACAAAGAATGGGAAGGCATGCCGTGTGAGGAGTACCGTGAGCCGCTGACGGGGCTGTGCGAGCGTCTGTGCTGGCACTAAGTGCGAGGGAGCTGTGGCTATACGAATGCCAGGTTAGGTAGGTTTAAGATGAGGAGTATTACGAGAAATGAAAAGAACATCTTATAAAAATGGATAGGTCAATTCTTTGGGAAGACATACCAATCATATGCAAAAAAGAGTTTCAAAGTGCACCCTGTTCGCATTAAGTGTACTAAGAGGAACAATAGAAAAGACAGATTTAGTCAGAATTTTAATGCTGCTTTCTTAGTAGTTGATAGAACTGGACAAAGAATCAGAAGGCAGAATTGCTCTGGACGACTCTGCACATCTTTTGGAAGTAATTGTTGTCGAAGATTATACCAGAATATATGTTCTAGTCGAGTATATTAGTAGGTTTACCAAAGCAGACCCTATTCTGGACTTTTCAGAGAAGTTTCATTCTGACAAAAAGTTTTGAATGTTTCAGTATGGCTAAAAGATTTAAACTTTACAGACTATTTTCTCTGATCACAATGGAGTTATAAATTAGTAACCATACGCTATGTATATACCCCTTATGGACCAAAACATATGTCATATGGGAAATTAGAAAATAGTTTCACTAAATCATAATGAAATGATAAAAGGTTAAGATGAATGAGGCGGCATTTAGAGGAAACTTTATATGTTTTAAATCTCTATATTTGAAAACAGAAAAGTCTAATACCAATGGTTCATAGGTACACATTACGAACTAGAAGAAGTGTTCGCTCCGGAAGCACATGTCCTAATATTGGAACAATGCAGAGAAGGTTAGCATGACTCCTGGGTAAGGATGACATGCAAATTGATTAAGTGTTTCATTTTTTTAAACTGCAGCATTATTTACAACTGCTAGGACATCGAATCAACCCAAATGTTCAAAAATAGATGAATGGGTTGGAAAACATGTGGTATATGTGCTCTATGGAATACTACTCAGCCAGAAAAGGAAGTGAGGCCCTGCCGTTTGATAGAAAGTGGATGAATATGGAAGACTTAATGCTAAGCGAAGCAAGCTAGACTACGAAAGACAGACTTTGTATGTCCCCACTCAGTATATACAGAATGCTTGTGCTCTGTGGCAGAAACTGAAAGTTTGGAAGGCGGAGTAACAGCGAGGGCAACTGTAGGTACCACAGATAAAGATGACAAAGGAAACATGGGGGTGGGCAATGGGAGAAGGGAGGGGAGCAGGAAAGAAAAATACGTTTAATAGACACAATATGAAAAGCTATCTGCTGATGATATTGTATATAGTAATGTCTTTGTCTTGACTGATATGCATGATATTTGTACTGGAAAAAAGCACTGTTAAATACTGCAAAGATATATGTGACGAAATGTAGATTACAATTTTTAAATAAATAAAATGAGAGCTAAAAGAAAAGCAAAGTAAATACATATAAGAAACGAGGAAGCAAAAACATTGACTCAGACACCCAAGAAATAGAAAACAAATAATAATAAAGAAAGTTTGAATATTAAAAGTTGTCACGTTTCACATATGAACAGAATAACAGAGATTGAGAGAAAGAGGGAGTTAAAGCACAAATTACCAAGATCAAGTCTGCTCACGATGTATCATAATAGATCTACAGCTTTTAAAAGGTACGAAGAGAACGTTATGAACAATATATGACTCTTAATTTGTCAACTCAGACAAATGGAATAAATTTCTTAAAATTTAAAACTTGCCAAACCTGACTCAAGAGTAAACAGAATGTCAAGACTTATATGTCTATTAAAATACTTTATTTCTCAACAATTTTCCCCATAAAGAAAATTCCAGGTCCAGATCACTTCAGTGATGAATTTCATCAAACATTTAAGAAAGTAATGCTACCCATCATATGCAAATGCTATGGGAAATGAGGGAGAGAACACACACTAAGTTGTTTATTAGCCCATCAAGATCCTGGTATCCAAGCCCGTCAAAAACATCCCCAAATAAACACATTATTACACACGAATGTCCCTCATGAACATAGACACCACAATTTTAAAAATACATTTTCAAACTCAGTCCAGCAATATAACTCAGAAATACATATGAGACACTTAGACAGGTGGGGGAGGGGGCTTATTCCCTAAAAGCAAAGTTGGTTTAGTATTAAAAAATACAAGACGTACATGGCATGGCCCATAACTAACAGAACTACAGGACTGAGGCGGGCTCAGATCTCTGTCTGCCTGAGTGTGGGAGCTTGCCAAGGGTCTGACAGCTAGAGAGCTGGGGAGAGGGCATAGTGGCAGAGGTTACCTGAGTGCAGGTGCTTCTCTCTTTTTCTCTCTCAGGCGTACACACACACTCTCTATCACGAAAAAAAAAATGTTACTTTATTTTTCCCTTAAGTTTTTGCTATAGGGCACATGTGCTTGCTGGAGAGAGACAGAGAGAGAGAGAAAGAGAAAATCACCCCCACACCTCCCACCCCTGGGGGATGGCTCCACCATAGTCCTTTCTTCTTTATTCTCCTCTTGGGATTTGGGGCACACTTGCACATGACTGGCATGTTTTCCAAGCTTCCAGGTCTGGGGCTCAAATACACACTCCGTCCTGAGGGATCCAGCTGCCTTAACTATCTTGCCACCTGGCTGTCCCCATAAACGATACTTCTTAAAATGACAAATAATGTCCTATGACATGCTAACAGAATAAGAAGAGTTGCATGGTTGCCGGATTAGGTGCAGAACAGAAAATGGCAGAACCCAAGATGTCTTCCAGTAAATCTCTCAGCAAACTAGGAATAGAGAAAAGCTTTTGAAATCACTTTCAAGCCAATGTAATAAGGCAAGTTAGGGAGAAAAAAGGTACATTTATTGGAACAGAAAAATAAACTTTATCTAAGGTGCCATTGTTATCTAGACAGAGACTACAAAATGACTACAAATCAGCAAATTTGTTCAAATCAGAAGATTCAATGGCAATATAAAATCAATTCTATTTTTTTTTCTTTTAGTTGTCAGAGGGCATGTGCATTCACCAGAGATGAAGAAAATCTCCCTCCCACCATGGGGTGCTACCATGTTGTAACTCCTTCTTTTCCACTCTTCTGTCCTGTCAGAATTTGGGATGTGCACACTCCCAGCATGTTTTCCAAGCTTTTAAGGCTGGAATTGGAACCTGTGGTCAGCCACATCGGATCTGGCTCCCTTAACTAACTAGGCCAAGGTACTGTCCCCAATTATATTTCTATATACTAGTAACAAACTATTGAAGATCAAATAAGAAAACACTAATACTCAGCCATGAAAAACAAGACCCTGACATTGGATGCAAAATGGATGAATACGGAAGATGTAATGCTAAGTGAAGCAAGCCAGAATATGCAAGGTGAGCGCTGTATGTCTCCACCTGATATGTACTGAGTGTCTGTGCTCTACAGCAGACGTGGAAAGTTTGGAAGGTAGAATAGCATGGAGGGCAACTATGGATACAAATGACAGTATAGAAGGGTGTGAGTACTAGCAGGTGGGTAATAGGGGGGAGGGGATCAGGGAAAACAAAACGTTGAATAGACACAAACATGAAAAGTTATCGGTTGAAGATAATGTATATGGTAATGTCTTTGACTAATATACACAGAAGAACATGTACTCATTACAGAATACACTGTAAAGATGTATAATGATTAAAAAAATTTAAAAAAGAAAACACTATTTTAAATATCTTAAATAATATGCATATAAATAAAAAACAAATAAGATGCAAAACTTAGACATGAAAAACTATAAAATAAGGATGAATGTATGACATTACACAGACTTAAATGGAGAGAAACACACACGCATGGATGGGAAGACTTGATCATTCAAGGGAGTCCGCTCTTACCCAATTCACCTATAGATCCAATGCCACCCTGTTTGCCATCATTTAACCAAGCATCTTCTAGACTTATTAAACATCAAATTCTAAGGTGCTGGGATATTGAGAGCTCCCAGTGCACTCGTTTGAGAAATGCATTTTTATGAAATCACTGAAATATTTTTATAAAGAATTTGCAGATAAGGGGAAAACAGAATTGGTGTAAGGGGAGCAGGCTGACAGAGAACATCGGAATGGAAGAAAGTCAAGATGGAAGAGGATGCAGAATGCCAAAGAGAGACTTGGATCCTGACGGTCAAAACGTCACTGAATTTTAGAGTTTGTTGCAGTTTTTATTTCCCCTTTTCCCATGTTTCTCCCAGTCCTGTTTAACTTAGAAAAACTTGAAATCTTGGCTCTAAGCAGTCTATATTTTCTATGAAACTATAAACCTCCTAAGGGTAGAGTCCTACCTTCTTTTTTTTTTTTATTCTATATTACTACAGAGTGCACGTCCTTGCCAGAGAGAGACAGGGACAGAGAGAGACAGGGACAGAGAGAGAAAGCATTCGGCAATGGGGCCAGGGCACGCTGCAGTCCCTCCTCCATCCTGTTGGCTTCAGGGCGTGCTCACACGTGTGCCTGCTGTCTTTTTCAAGTTGCCAGGGCCGGGATTTAGACTGCAGTTGGCCACGTGGGATCCAGTTTTCTTACCCATCAGTCCAGGGCCAGCCCATGTCTATTTAACTCGTACAACACCCAATATAAGACACGGTGACTCTGTGGAGAGCCGGACCCATCTCTACATTCCTTCACTTACCTACTCAAGTATTTAGTGGGTGCCCACTTTGTTCAGGCACTGTCTCAGGTTCTGGGGTGTGACGGTGAGCAAAGCGAAGCCCCAGCTTGCATAGAACTTAATAAAAAAAGTCAAATGAAAGAATGAGGGGACGTATCTGCCGCTAATGGCAGCAATAGATATTTGCTTCATATTTGTCATACCTAGTACCGCACTGAGTCTTAACAGCAGCCCTGCAGTAGAGGCACAGTGAAGTGGGCCCTGCTTCACAGATAAGGAGGCTGAAGGTGGAGACAGGCCCGCCATGGTGAAGGTCAGGCGCTGAGGTCTCCAGGGAGGGCCATCACTTCTGTTATTCTTCTTTCGTAATGAGTCAGAGAAAGGTTGAAAACAGACAGGCCCGCACCTTAGGATTTATTGAGCCTGCCACCCTGTTTTTCCAAGCATAGGACAAATGGGTGCCTTGGACTCCTGCTCACGGTCCCACTGCAGCAGGGGCAGCCGCGGAGATGCAGCTTTGTGAAGGGAGAAAGAGGCATGGCTGCTCTGACAGACGTTTTCTCTGGTGGCCTCCAGAGGACCAGACATTCATCACGCACTGTGATTTATTTATCACATCGTAGCGGTTGCACTCAATAGCGCGAATGTGAAAAAGCGGGTTTCCTTTCCCCAGGGAAGGCCGGGCCTGATGAGTCAATAATTAAAAACTGCCTCGACAGCTGACACTGCGCCTCCCGCAAAGGCTGAGAAAGGGCAGTGGGGACAAAGAGAAGGCACTGCTCCTAAAGGCAGAGCGAATTTGTCAGCACAAGAGGAGGCAAAAGTGCAAGCAGAAGGACAGACCCCAGCAGGCCAAGGGGACCATTGGCTTCCTGTGGGCCCGGGACACACAGGTTCCAAGAAACAGCGATTCTGACAAGGCAGCCTATGAAGGATCACCAAAGAGTTTTTATTTATCATTTTCAGGTTTTTATCATAGGGTGCATGCACTCCTCAGAGAGAGGAAAAGTGAGATATCGCCCCTCCAGGAGAAATGGCCGTGCCTCAATCTCTTCTCTTCTGTTCTCCTCTAGAGATTTAGGGCATGTGCACGCACGCACACACACACACACACACACACAAGCCTAGTGTAATTTTCTTACTTTTTTTTTTTTAAAGACACTTTTGCCATAAGGTGCATGCGCTTGCTGGAAAGAAAGAGAGAAAGAGAGACAGTGAGAAATC